GGTTGTGCATCGATTATCGGAAGTTGAATTGCACCACCATCAAGAACAAGTATCCTTTGCCAATGATAGATGATTTATTTGATCAGTTGAGGGGAGCCAGTTGTTTCTCCAAGATTGACTTGAGGTCTGGCTATTATCAGTTGCGGGTTAGGGATGAGGATATCCCGAAGACAGTATTCCGTACACGGTATGGACACTTTGAGTTCCTTGTTATGCCTTTTGGCTTGACTAATGCTCCAGCGGCATTCTTGGACTTAATGAACTGCGTCTTTCACGATTACTTGGACTAGTTTGTTGTAATTTTCGTGGATGACATTCTTGTGTATTCACGATCTCGGGAGGAGCACGAGATCCATTTAAGTATTGTTTTACAAATTTTGCGGGAGCACCGGTTGTATGCCAAATATGAGAAATGTGAATTTTGGCTGCAAGAGGTGAAATTTTTGGGACATGTTGTTTTAGAAGGCGGAGTGTCAGTTGATCCATCAAAGATTGAAGCTATTTTGAATTAGGAGCAACCCTAGAATGTGTTTGAGATCCGTAGTTTTCTTGGTCTAGCGGGTTACTACTGGAGATTTGTGAAAGATTTCTCCCGTTTAGCAGTGTCTATGACCCGTTTAACTCAGAAAGGGATTAAGTTTGCATGGAATGAAGCCTGTGAGTCATCTTTCTAGGAATTGAAGACAAGATTGACTAAGGCTCCAGTGTTGGTGATACCTGAGCGTGGCTTGGGTTATATGATCTATTGTGATGCTTCACGTGATGGTTTAGGGTGTGTGTTGATGCAGGATGGTAGAGTAGTGGCTTATGGGTCTCGACAGTTGAAGATTCACGAGTACAACTACCCTACTCATGATTTGGAGTTGGCGGCAGTTGTGTTTGCTTTGAAGTGTTGGAGACACTACCTGTATGGTGAGAGATTTGAGGTGTACTCGGATCATAAAAGTCTCAAGCACCTTTTCTCCCAAAAGGACTTGAACAATAGACAGAGAAGATGGGTTGAATTCTTGGAAGATTATAATTTTGACTTGCAGTATCATCCGGGCAAGGCAAATGTGGTAGCAGATGCCTTAAGCCGAAAATCTCGTGGAACTTTGGCCTGTCTGGCTATTCGAAAGTGGAAGATGCTTAAGGATTTGGCAGAGATGGGATTGTATTGTTTTGACGACGATGTTGACAGTGAGCCAGCATTCTTGTTTAGTCTTATGGTTCAGCCTACTCTTGTTGTACGAGTGATTGAGTCACAGAGACAGGACCCGAATTTAGATGCTATTCACGCTTTGATCTCCAGTGGTGAGACAGTGAAAGATTGGGCTTTGTATACAGATGGGGGTTTACGGTTCTGGGGTTTGTTGGTGGTTCCTACTGTTTGTCGTGAGGACGTCTTACGGGAGTTTCACACTTCCCGCTTTGTAGTTCATCCAGGTGGTACCAAGATGTATCACAATTTGAGACGTCAGTATTGGTGGAATGGGATGAAGAAAGATGTTGCACAGTTTGTGGCTAGATGCCTTACCTGGCAGCAGGTGAAGGCCGAGCATCAGAGACCAGCCAGTTTGTTGCAACCATTACCTGTAGCGCAATGGAAATGGGAGCATATTGCTATGGATTTTGTGACAGGTCTTCCAAGGTCACGAAGGGGCAATGAGTCCGTATGGGTCATCATTGACAGATTGACCAAAACGGCTCACTTTTTGCCTATTAAGGCAACAGATGATGCAGAGAAGCTTGGTGTTCTTTATGTGAAGGAGATTGTAAGATTGCATGGAGTTCCAGTAACCATTGTTTCAGATAGGGATGCTAAGTTCACTTCGAAGTTCTGGGAAGGACTTCAAGTAGCGTTTGGCTCAGCGTTGCACCTGAGTACAACATTCCATCCATAGACTGACGGGCAGTCGGAGCGTACTATCCAGATTTTGGAGGATATGCTTCGGGCATGTGTGCTTGACTTGGGTGGTAGTTGGGAGGATCACCGTCCACTTATTGAATTTGCCTACAATAACAGTTATCAGGCGAGTATTCAGATGGCTCCATTTGAGGCATTGTATGGTAGACCTTGTAAGTCTCCTGTTTGTTGGACTGAGGTAGGCGAGACAGCTGCCTTAGGACCTGACATTGTACTCGAGACTACTGAGAAGATTAAGTTGATAAGACAGAGGTTACTTACAGCTCAGAGCCGACAGAAGAGTTATGCGGATAAGCGGAGACGGTCGTTATCCTTTGAGGTGGGAGACCACGTTTTTCTTCAGGTTTCTCCACGGAAGGGATTGATGAGGTTTGGGAAAAGTGGTAAGTTGTCGCCACGATTCATTAGACCATTTGAGATTTTGGACCGTGTAGGAGAGGTTGCCTACAGACTTGCTTTGCCACCACAGTTGGATAGGGTCCACAATGTTTTCCATGTATCGATGTTACGGAAGTACGAGCCAGATCCATCTCACATTCTGAGTTGGGTTGATGTAGACATTGATGAGGATGTTTCCTACGAGGAAGGACCAGTTCAGATTCTTGACACACAACAAAAGGTGTTGAGGAACAAGACGATACCAATGGTGAAAGTCCTTTGGAGACACCACGGAGTTGAGGAGGCTACTTGGGAGCTCGAACAGGAGATTCGCTCCAAGTATCCAGAGTTGTTTTTTCCCCAGGTTTGGCTTGATTTCGGGGACGAAATCTTTTTAAAGTTGGGGAGAATGTAATGTCTGTGTCTGTATATATATATAGGTTAAAAGAAATTTTTTTTATTTAGCTGTGGGACCCACTTATTTTATGTTATCATGTGCCAAATGGGATTACAGACCCATTTTTTCTGTTCCTTTTCTCTCTCCCCGCTGCCTTTCTTCCTTTTTTTTTTTTTTTTTTTTGCAACTTCCACTCTTGATTTCTTCCTTCATCCTTGGTAGATTTGAGAGCCGTTTGAGGCAAAACGAAACCCACAACGAGCTCTATGCGCTAGTGTAAGCAATTTCAGATTTGGTCTTCTTAGGGACTTCGAATTTTGAGACCCATTTTAAGGGTTTTGGCTCACTTTTGAGATAGGGACACCTTAATCCACTACCTTCTTGTTCCATTGTGAGTTATAATCATTTGTTGTGCCAAACATGCTTAATTAGAAGTTAATTGTATCAATGATTATTTTAAATGTTGTCTAGAGAAATTCATGTATTTGAATGTGAGTTGTTTTATGTGTAAAGCATGCTTAAATGTATTTTGTTATATCTTAATGTGTTAATAATTACTTGGGAGATGTTGAACATGTTGAATGTTTAATTTTATGGTGTAGAATTTTAAATGCCATGACATTGAATGTATGGAATATATATACATGCACATACCATTGGGTTTGCATGAAATGGGAGAAATTATTCTTGAAATAAATATGGAGAATTTCAGGGAAGTGTTTTTGATGAAATGGTTTTATGCGAAACTCGGTCGCTGCGGGGTTACCAACGGGCCGGAGGTTAATATAGCCTAGAGAGGACTAGGGAGTCGCCTTAGTGTGGTTGAGCTAGCTGGGTTCCATAATGACGCCGCGGGGTTACCAAGGGTCAGGGACACTTGCCAATCCTCCTCTCGTGTCGCGGCGGGGCTACCAAAGGGCGGGCTGTATTAACAGTTTGGAAATGATGTTTTGGATTATGAAAATGGGGAGCGACACTAGCATGCATTGCATCTCATACCATTGCATTGGATATACTTGAGATTGAATCGTTATGCTGTATTATTTCCCGACATTGTATGATCCCCATTTCCCATTGGCCTATACTTTGTTTGGATTCACAAGGACACAAGATGTGTGTCTTAAGTGTCACCTGCTGAGCTTTATACTCACCCTACTATTTATATTATTTTTTTCAGGTCTTGGAAATGAACTGGTGGACGACAATCCACCTCAAACTTGAAAGTTGTTAGAAGGTTGTTTGCTATTTTGTATTTTGACCGTTCTATGTATATTTGTAGTTGTGGAAATGTAACTAAGTTAGTATTTATGGCCTTGTAACTTAAGAACGAACTTATCTTTTGTTTGATGTAAAGGAAAGTAATAGAATTATGGTATATGTTTCCATGCAATTGTGTTATGTAACGTTGTAAGACAGGGACTTTAAATATTAATCTTGTATTTTGGGATTGTAATTATGATAATTTAGATTAATTGGTGTGTGGATGTTCCACCATGAGAGGAACTATGTTGAGGTATAATGAACGGATGAATGGGATGCTGGATGATTTTATGTGTTTTGTGTATTGGGACAGGTTGTTGAAGGCCCGTTTTTAGGGGAGGTTATGCCGAATTTTTTTAAAATTTTGGCATCAGCTAGGGTCGTTACAATAGTATACATGGTAGAAAGATTGGCACAATCTGTTGGTCATTCTTAACTTTGGGAATGAGGACCAAGGGATAAAGCCAAACTAGTCCTGCTCAAGCTTAACAAGGCTAGTTGTGCCTTGTTCTAATTAATCTGGCATTCGGTTCAAAGATGTTTTCGATACGATTTCAATTGAAAGAAAATTACTTCCAAAATGCAAAAACTAACCTCTAATTTTGATGGAATCCCTCATTAGAGTTCATAGCTTTATAGTACAGCCTGATTTTCCTTGAACATTTCCCTTATTGTAATTTTCTTAGAGGTTATGTTATCTCAACAGCATGCCATTTGCATCTGATGACCATAAGCTAATTCAATCCATGCCCAGTACTTAACAAAACTGAAACTTGAATCTAGACTGGTGAACCACATCCAATTAATGAACAATTTAACAAAAATTGACCTCAAATTGCTCGTAATAAGCTTGTTTGTTCACCAGCCCTGATAAAATAAATAATATTCAATGACCAAGTATTCCTTACCACACTGGAGGATAATATTATCTCCCCCAAACCAGGAGCCTTCTGTGGCTGTTTGTAAGTGTAGGAAAATGAATTGCTAGTTTTGCCACAACTATATAGCCCTATATTAATCTGTGTGTATATGCATAAGTGAGGAGACAAGAGGGCAAACCAGGAGCAGATGGTTGATTTGATCATTGGTACAAGAATTGTCGATGAGGGTGTCCAAGAAGTCCTTTTGGCCTGAAGCATTGCCTTTTCTTCCTTCTCTTCTGTCTTCGATAATGGGCTTCCACATAGCACACATCCTCAAAACCGCTTCCTTTGCCTTCTTGTTTAAACCCTGAAGATCTAATGCACCTAAAATTGGATAAAAATCAGGCAGATTTGGAGCTGAAATAAAATCAATATATTTTCCAAGAAGACCCTTCATCCCCCCATCCACACTCTGCTTCTCCAATATGATAAAATCTCTTGATATAAGAACATTACTCATCATATTAAAAATAGTGGCAAAAACCAGTTCTCCAACTTTCACTTCCTTTCCCTTCTTTGCACCCAAAAAATTCACCATGTCTATTGCCTTTCTCTCTCTCAAACATGCTTGAGACTCCATTGCCTTGCCCGAGAAGAGCTCACTTCTGCATATTGTTCTTAAATTCTTCCATCTATCATTGCACTCCAGTGCCCACACAAGTGATAAATGATTGAATTTTGGGCTCTTAGCTGGTACTGCATGAGGAACATATCGTGCAGATAAGATTCGATCATGGGTCTTGAGAATTTCCTCTGCAGCAGTTGCCGATGATCCGATGATCATGATTTGAGTTCCTAGTCTCAGTGACATGAGTGAGCCATAAGTCTGAGCAAAGTTTGCTAGAGTGATGTGAGGCTTTTTTCCCATATGAGGAATATTGCCCAAGATTGGCCATGGACTTGGTCCTGGTGGAAGTGGTAGAGTACTTTCTGATAGGAAATTAGATTTGAAAAGTTTTAGGATGAGGAAGATGATGGCTAAGAGGAGGATTGGAAAGAAGAGATCATAGGTTCCTTCTGCTACAATCTTTTCAGCCACGACTTCCATGAAGAAAGAGCTGGCTTTTGCAGTGTTATGTATTGTTGTCAATTAGCTTTCTCTATGTATTTGGGGGTCAACAACTTAATTTCCTCTCAACTGCTCTATAATGAAACAGGTAACTATGTAAATAAATTTTAGATTACTAGGAAGTCCATTATTGAAGTGGCCATAGCAATGTAATTATTTGTAACTTTCTGGTTTTTTTTTTCTTCATAAACCAGAAAGTTATTGTCAAGCCCAACTCCACCGACCGCTGTTTGCCGATAGTGATCTGCCACATTATTGCAATGAGATTTCTCCTCTGCAATAGTACATAAATAATTCATCTTAATCTAAATATGAAGTTTCACCATCAAGTTGTGTCTCTTGTCAAGGATTTGTAGTCATGGGATAATTTTTCTTTTCTATCTTCGGAAGATTTGGAGCGTCCAAATTTGACTTTTTTTTAACACAACTGGCCTTTTTTTATACGTCTTCAAGAACAATACTTACACTTCATTTGTTATTGTAGTAATGCAACATAATTCACTCCGGTTTTGTGGTCCCGTTGGATGTGAAAAATCAACATGATTGTAATGGCTTACACAAATCCACTCAAAGTTGAGATTTAGGAACAGTTGATAATTTTACAATATAGATTCATTATTGATCTGTTCCAATCCAACTAGTTTGAAACAATTTTGGTTTACATTGTACATTCATCATTGATCTGTTACCACCTTACCTGAAAATTTCCCCTTCACAACCACATCTGCTTACGGCACAATTTCTAGAATGAAGAATCAGAATAGTGGAAGCTGGAAGTTCTGCAGAGGCTTATGGGCTTCATTTGGCTCACTAGGCATGATAGGCTCCTGTCTAGAAAGTGCACTATGACATATCTTTTCTACAGGGCTTATCAAGCAATCTGTAAGTAGGAATGAAAAAAATTGGATGGAAGAGAGAGAAGGGGGGATGGATGAGACATCATTTGAGAAAATTTACATCCTTTCCTCTTTTTGTTCGATTGGATGGAAGAGGAGTAAGCTCATAAATTATTGTGTTCGTTAGGAGAGAAGGGAAGAGAGTTTTAAATTATTTTTAACATTATACCCATCACTATCTATAGTATTGTAATTTATGGAGGATAATACTGTAATTTAAAACTTGTAATAGCCCCACTCGTCTTCCTGTCCGTATTTGGAGAGATGAAAATTCATAGAGGAAGGATGACTCGTCAATCTTATTATCCTTTCTCTCCTTGTATCCTCTCTAAGGAACAGAAATTTGTTCCTTCCTTCCTATCCTCCCTCCACCCCTCTTCCTTCCTTCCTACCGAAGATCTGCCCTCTTGTTAATAAGCATTTGCGCTACATTGCCTAAGATCTGCCTACTAAATCCCATGCATATTTGACATGGTAGATCGATTATCACATAGGTTAAGTCCCTATGGCCCCATATTTCCAAAGACGAAGATTATGGTTAGCATTGACAATTACAAGTATGTCAGGGACTTCAAATATGCACTAATTGACTGATAGTGAACTTATCCAGAATAAATTCAGCTAAGATAGGTTGTATTTGTCTCAATGAAAATAACTTCATCTCAAGCAGTTTCTTTGTGTTGAATCAAATCAGAGACAGCAACAAAAGTTACTAAGATAGCTGCCACTGGAGTCCATCGAAATAAAAGGCGTGGCCACCTAAGAAAAGCTATATTCTACAAGTTATGCATTATGCTTCGAGTCAACAGTTGCTTGCAGTTATTATAGTAGAAACAATATTCACAATTAGCCTGATCCAAGGTAAGCAACAGTGAAACCAAAGGAAACAACTAGCTGCATCAATCTTTTGTGTACACGCCATGTTCTAATGATTTGAGACTTGAGGATGGAAATGTAACTAAAAGAACCTCAATTGAGGCTTTTAAAATTCTGCCACTTTAACTCAACACAAAAATCTACTGTGGGCTCTTTTGATGAAGAAAAGTGCCACTTTATATTGAAACTAGAAATTGAACTTTCGTTCCCAAACAATCACTAGAACAGGAACATATTTGTGATGAAAACCAGATAAGGGATATTATTTAAGTGATCATACTAGTATAGAACCTGAGGAGATTGCAGCACTCCATTGTCATTATTTAACTGTAGGAATGAGGACCAGGGGTTGTTCCTTCTGCAATGTTATAGAGAACTTCTCATTCATGTCTAGCTCATTGGGATCATTTCCATGTGGAAGAGACCAATCGAAAGAACGGAGCAATGAAGCAAGTATCAAAGGAACTTGCTTTGCTGCCATGGGAAGACCAGGGCAGATTCTTCTACCTGCACTAAAGGGTAAGAATTCAAAATCGTTCCCTTTGAAATCCAAAGTCCCGTTGAGGAATCGCTCTGGTTTAAATTTCAGTGGCTCTTCCCAAACCATGGGGTCTCGCCCAATTGCCCAAACATTTACTACCACTTGAGAATTTTTAGGGATGGTGTAATTCATCACTTTGCACGAGTCAGGTGCACGGCGAGGAAGCAGCAATGGTCCTGGAGGATGCAATCTCATAGATTCTTTTACACAAGCTTGAAGGTAAGGTAGCTGAGGTAGATGGGATTCTTTCAGCGAATGTTGGTTGATTTCTCTTGTCAATTCTTCACAAACTCTCTCCATGGATTCTGGATTTTTTATCAATTCTGCCATTGCCCACTCAATTGTTGAAGTGGTAGTGTCTGTACCAGCAGAGAATAACTCCTGAAAATGCATACACAGTGGATGAGTACACAATTGTAATTATATGCTAATCTACAACTCTTACATGGCACGAAAAAAAATGAACTCTATTTTTTAAAAAACAAATTCCTAACAATTACTTCAGAACCTACATAGTCTCCCCTTCATAAAAATGGATAACAGTATGTCATGCTATTCTTCTATGTATTGTTCGAATTTGATCCTGACCAAAGTGAAACTAACACTATCCAAACTTGGTCAAGGCTAGTTATCCATTGGTATAATCTGACGATGTATTCATGTCAAAATCTGACTCTCATTACATAATGTACAATCCAGATACCATTGAGTTTGGATTTTGGTAATTGGTTCTTGGTTTTGACAGCAAAGATTGTTACTGATGTGATTTGAAGTGAAAGAGAAGTACTAGCAAATGCAAATCAAGAATTAAGCATGAATTTAGACCAGTGAACTAGCTCAAATGAATTCTTCAACAAAACTGTCCTCAAATAGATCAGAAGAAGCTTGCTTGTCTACAAGCCATGCTGAGAGTTGATATGCAAGGACTAAGCTTTGATTATAACCGTGTAAAATATTATATTTTTCCCAAACTAGGAGATATTCTGTGTATGTTTACAAGTGTAGGCCAAGGTTTTGCTACTAGTATAATATCAATTGTGTGTTATATGCAAAGAGAGGAGAGGAGAGGAGAGAGCAAACCCAGAGAAGATGGTTGATTTGATCATCGGTAAAAGCAGTGTCGATGAGGGTGTCCAAGAAATCATTTTGGCTCGAAGCATCACATCTTCTTTCTTCTATAGTGGGCTCCCACACAGCACAAATCTTCCGAAACAACTCCTTTGCCTTCTTATTTAAACCCTGAAGGTCTAATGCACCTAAAATTGGATAAAAATCAGATATATTTGGAGTAGAACCCACCTTGGTGAGTTCTCTTACAAGACCCTTCATGCTTCCATCCACATTTTCTTCCTCTAAGCTAATAAAATCTTTTGACATGACAACATTACTCAACATATTAAACACAGTGGCAAAAACCACTTCTCCAACTTTCACTGCCTTGCCCTCCTTCACTCTCAAGAAGCTCACCATGTCCCTTACCTTTTTCTCTCTCAAACATGCCTGAGACTCTATTGCCTTACCAGAGAAGAGTTCAGTTCGGCATATAGTACGCAAGTTCTTCCATCCATTATTGCACTCTAGAGCCCACCCCATTGATAATTCTGAGCTCTTAACTGGTACTGTGTGAGGAACATAACGCGCAGATAAGATACGATCATGGGTCTTGAGAATTTCTACTGCAGCAGCTGGTGATGATCCAATGATCATGATTTGAGTTCCTAGTCTCAGTGACATTAGCGGGCCGTAGGATTGAGCAAAGTTTGCTAAAGTGATATGAGGCTGTTTTTCTCCCATTTGAAGAATATTGCCCACGATTGGCCAAGGAGTCGGTCCTGGAGGAAGTGGTGGACTACTTTTTGATAGAAAATAAGATTTGAAATGCTTTAGGATGAGGAAGATGATGGCTAAGAGAAAGATTGGATAGAAGAGATCATAAGTTCCCTCTGCTACAATATTTTCAGCCATGACTTCCATGAACAAAGAGCCGGCTTTTGCAGTGTTATGTATTGTTGTCAATTAGCTCTCTAAGGAGGTTGCCTATTTGGGAGTCCTCTGTCCCATATTAATTGCTCATCTTCTTATTTTTAATTGTCCCATCTCAAAAATCGATATATTATATTTTAAAATTATAGTAAATTAACACAATCTGGTCAAAATTGTACACGATGCCAACGAGAGCCGCGTGGAACCCAAACACGGGTTCATGTTGGGCTCCGTACATGAAAATGACACTGTTTAGGTGCACGTGATGGGCACAGTTTTCCATCTCGGTGCACTGGATGGGGGACAGAGGGAATCATGATTCGTTTTTAAAAGCATTGTTGTTAACTTGAAAATTCCAATACTGCGTGGGCCTGTACAGATACATAAAAATCATATATACTTGTATATAATTGTTTCATAGTATATCACTATGTAGCACATGATCCATTCTTAACTATGTCGCGAAAATTTAGATTACTTCATGGTGCTCTCTCAATTCTATATATATATATATATGTTCATATATTATATATATGGACAATCAAGCTACTGGGATTGCTTCTGCTCAATGAGCAATAATTAAAGTTGTTTACCAAATAAATTATTTCAAACTGGATACAAATCATAAGAATATAGTAAATTAACACAATCTGGTCACAACTGTAACAATAATTGTTAACCTAATGCAGATTTAAAAATAACTTTTATACTGTTCTCTTTTGCCCAGACTGGTGGAAGTCCATGGGCCAAAAATCAGCTCTAGTCGCACAGTGCACAATTTCCTCCATTTTGGAATGAGTGTAGGACAAATGGCCACGTCACTTAAAAAAATGGGTTTAAAAAAAGTAACTGCACATTGTTGAAGTTGTATTAAACGTGTGTAATAATATTGTATATTTGTGTAATAATACGGTATAGGTTATATTTATACGGCATATTGTCCATTTAGCCCTTACTTATTGTATGGAATTGTCCATTTAGCCTATAGCTCTTATTTTACAGAATTTGTAAAGAATGCAAAGAAAAGAAAGAAGGAAGAAGGTCTGCGTGGGTTTGCGAAGAAGAAGAAGGAAGAAGGAAGAAGGAAGAAGGTCTGCGTGGGTTTGCGAAGAAGAAGAAGGAAGAAGGAAGTCTGCGTGGGAAAAAAGGTGCTTTGTTGCGTGAAGAAGGTCTGTGTGGGTCTGTGAAGAAGAAAGAAGGAAGAAGGTCCTGTGTTGGCCTTTTTTTAGTTGAAGAAAACCGTAACCTCTCTTGTGCGTCTGACGCTTGGGTCTGCGAAGAGAACCATCGCTACATTGAAGAAAACCCTAATTTTTCTTTCGAAATAGAAACCGGAAGCAGCGATTGTTCTGTGAATGAACCCAAATTTTGGTTGCTAAACCTAAGCAGGTACGAATAATAATTTTCAGATTTGATTTTGAAAGGAATCGTCTTATTTCCATAAGAACTAAATGGCAGAAACAAATATAATTAGTGAGAATATATAGACACATTTTTGGTAAGAAACCCTAACCTCTCTTTCCAAATAGAATCCGAAAGCTGCGATTGTTCTGTAAATGAACCCAAAATTTGGTTGCTAAAACTAAGCAGGTATGAATGATAATTCTCAGATTTGATTTTGAAGGGAATCGTCTTCTTTCCATAACAAACAAATATAATTAGTAAGAATATATAGGGAATAGACACATTTTTGGTAAGAAACCAGAGTGTTACAATATTAAGAAAATGTTTGGTCGTTGGGCTTGTATCGCAACGTTTTCCTAAGTTGCATCCCAAATTCTTGCTAATAAGCATCCCAAATTCCTCCTTATCTGCATTCCAATATTTTTGTAAAGTGAGTCACAACATTTTTCTAATGTACATCCTAACATTTTCATAATATAAATCCCAAAATATTTGTAAATTGTAACCTAACATTTTCCTCTGAAGAAAACCCTAACCTCTGTTCTGTGTCTGAGGCTTGGGTCTGTGAGGAGAACCATCGCTACATTGAAGAAAATCCTAACCTCTCTTGCTCTTTCTTTGATTGAAGAAAACCGAAGCCTCTATCTTGCCTTTTCTCCGTCATTCCTTTTCGGTGATTAAAGAGAACCCCATAACCAATCGCCCTAAAAATCCACAAAGTGTAGAAGTTATTTATTATTGATTTGGAGTCCTGCTTTCATCAATAGTAAGCGGATGTTCCAAAAGTTTGAAGTTCTGTATGGGTGCGTGTGAATTAGCCATTTTTAGTTTAATAATGCTGCCTAATGTGTTGAGCATAGTAGATGAGGTGCCTGATGTTTGCATTCATATGTGTGCAATAACATACATACAACATTGTAAATTGTCAATGTATTTGATTTTATAATTTTTTAGTGATTAAATTGCTTATCTTCACTGCAGTTGAGTTTTGAGCATAATTTGCTTTGGTCTTCTTTAGTGATGATCTTGTTTATATTTAAAATTTGTCACATGTATATGATTATAATGTTAGTGTCTATAAATTTGGTTTATGGTGATATAATTTCTGTCTACTTAACTTATGTTGCATACACAATTTCGTTTATGCGTATTTTCTGGTTGAAAAATTGGGCAGAAGAGCCAGTATGCCTTGATTTGTTGATATTACTTATGTAATATGCCTTCCTAGAGAAAAAGACTATGTTTATATCATATACTCTGTATAGTTTGCTGTGTAGTAGGAGTATTAGTTTTGAAGTGGCTTGTTTTAAGGAGTAAGAAAATACAAGTTTGTTAAATAATCCACTATTTATGTTTGGCTAATATCTTTCACAATAATTGTCTTCATATTAGTGAATCAGCTTCCAAATACACAACACTTGTCTAAAATCTTGTTATTTGTACACATGTAGGTTGATGAAACTTCATGGTTTGATAGATTGTGTAATAGTGATATTAGTATTTTTTAATTTTGGATTGAAAGGAAATGTTTATATTGGACATGTTTCAGCAGTTTAATTTCAAAATATTGATGCATTGTGTTATATACTTGGCAGTTAACATATTGTTGGTATGTAGCATGCAATGTACATTAATAGTCTCTGTTTGTCATATCTGATTGTGGCTTGAATTGAATTTAGGTTTGCAAATGGGTAAGTTGAAGACTGCAGCGCATAACAAAGGGAAAAGGAAAATGAATATTATACTGGTTCCAAAGAAGAGAAGTAACCCGAAGAGTGGTGAGGTTAGTGAGAGTTCTAGAATGTCGTCTGAGAGTGATTCTGATTATGTGCCATGTGAAGAGGAGGTACATGAAGAGGAATATGAAGATGATGATGAAGAATTTGAGTCGGAGGTAAAGACTGCTACATCCTCCAAGACCAAAGAAACTATGCCGCGTCGTCTTACTGGAGTGTTCGTTATGTTCAAGTATGTATGTATTAATGTTAATTTTGCAATTGAAATTTGGTTTGAAGTCTAAAGTCATGGAAAAGTAGGAACAAATTGGGAAGTGATATGAAATTTTTGGTTTTCCGTAAATGGAAGATATATGAATTTGAGAGTGTAGAACATAAAAAGTAACTTGTAATGTATATGTATTTAAATCCTTATGCTTAGTTTATTAATGGTTGATCAGAGCGGCATATATGAGGAAATACCGAGAAGATCATGGATTGACTGAAAAAATCAAGATGTCTCTAAAAAGAGAAATAGAGACTGAAGCTACGCATGCATGGAAAATGATGAGCAGTGAAGAGAAGGCCTGATATTTTGAGGAAAAAAGTAGAATTGAAATGGAGTTCCGAAGGTCCGGATGTAAAGCTGCAAATAAAAGAAGGAAAAAGGTAATGTGTTAAATTGAATTGTTTGTATTTATTTCATTTAACATATACTTGAAAATTGAAATATAATGTTATTAGTTTTTCAATGGTATAGAAGAAGGCAGAATACAAGATTAAGGCCGGTTTCCACAGAAGTTCCATTCCGAAATTCATAGAAATAGTTGCGAAACTGAACTCTGAGAAGAGGAAGGATGTGGGGGATATCGATTTTGGATTTCTGTTGGACCTCAAGTGTTCCCATTTGTCGACTCCACTCTTCAACTACTTGATAGAACAATTTGACGCTGACAAATATGGTATAAAACTGAAGGGCAATCAGTTGTTGCCCATAAATGCGTTTGAGGTGCAAAACATTTTGGGCTTACCTGCCGGTATAGTACCAGTGCCTACATCCCATCAGTTTTCTGTGGACTGGATAGACGAGGGTGGATATCGGGAGTCGTTGTCTGTAGGCGAATTGATGAAAAGGGTTGTAGAATGTGAAGCTGGAGATGACTTCAAAAGGGCCTTTGTATTATTCGTATGTGCGACTGTACTAACCCTAAACAGTCGTTATCATGCGCATGTACAAGAATTATTGGCCGTTGACAATGTCAAAGCAATAAGTTCTTATAACTGGTGCCTGTATGTGGTGGACCATATGGTTGGTAATTTGGGTGATGGCAAGCTGAAAGGAGAGTATGTTGGTTGTTTGCTTTTCTTGCAGGTATACAACTTTTAATTTAACTCCATTTACAAATTGAAAGTTATGAATTTAAATTGTTTTGTAAATAATATGTATCATGTCTAATCTGCTGCATTTTGTTTCATACAATATAGCTACTTTATTTGATGAGATGTCAAGTGAAGTACCCATGCTATCTTAGTGGAGATAGAAATAGCCTAGGTTATTGGGATGATGGCCTTGTACTTAATTGATTGAAATGGGAGGAACAGATGGGAGGGTTTGGAAATGGTCAGTTAATGTAGTATTTGTTAGCTACGTTGCAAATTTAAGTGCTTGTGTATCTTTATTTTATCATTTAAGCATCAAGTAGAACAACAGTTTCGCACTGTGCGTAATTTGAATTTGGAACAGTTGATCACAACTTGGGGCATAATAGATCTGAGCAATGTCAACGTTCGCCCAACTACATGTGGTCCGTCCTAATCTCGGCCAGGCTCGTCCAACGTTGCATTAGAGGTAAATAAATATTTTTTAATGCTGCAGATGATGATGTATGTATGAATAGACTGCCTCGTA